GGTCTTTGTGTAGATGGATTTAATGATATGAGTCTTTGTGTAGATGTGTTCGATGTTATTGGCTTTTGTAGTGTAGATGTGTTGAGTGCTTTGGATTTTGTTTGTTGTCTAACAAACGCTAATGTATTTTCACTTAAAATATCTGACAAAGATTGTAAAGATTCCTCCGTGCTAGGTACATCATCGGTGCAAGTACCTGCAAATGTTCAAAATATTAACATAAGTATCAATGAAAAAAGCATTGTTCGTTCAACAATATTTATAATATCACGTTTATATTTTTATAATCATTAATATTTATAATCATTAATATTTAACATTAGAAATTATAGAAGTAATAAGAAATTTTGATATACCTGTCTCATTGTCTAAATACTCATAATCGATGTATTGCATAGAGTCATTATTTTCATTGGACAGTCTATTTTCTTCATAAGGATCAAAATTCTGTAATTCCAAAGAGGAGTTTGATTCGTCTTCTATTGCAATATTCCCAAATGTTCGTCGTTTTTTCACTACAGAGTGTAAGAATGCTAAATGTTTCATTAATGGCCATTCCGTTTGCGTAGCTGATCCTGAGGGTATTTTTTTAGCTCTTTCTTTGGAAAATCTGTTACGTAACGACGACCATCGAGCAATACAATCAGCGACTGAAAGAAAAGAAATGTATTTGTTTACGTATATGTCATTATTAAACCTAACCTAAGCTAATTTTTTACTTTGAGAACCATATATATATTTAGTTAATTAATATACTTTATTTGTAAAGTCACAAATATATTTTCTATTATATTATATTGCTGTATTATACAATAATATTTATATACTTACTTGGTATTTGTATTTCTCCGCTTATAAATGACCAGGAATTCTCTATTGCCATCCGATCTTTATATTTTTTATTTGTCTTATCATATAAATGTGGAAATCTTTCCACTAAAGTTATTAACTGTATATCTCTATTCATTATTTATAATATTTCTACCTGCATCGAAAATACTGTAAAATGTAGAAAAAGCGTACAAAACTATTGGCTTGGTTACAATCATAGACTATAGATTTCTATATATAAGTCTGTGGTTGTAACCAATCTTC